AACTAAAACTTGGTAACCATGAATGAATGCATATTTGTCATTTTAACTGAACTTAGGACTGGTGGTGGTGTTTAAGATATTGTTGGTCATAGGTAATAGTAATTATTATTAAAAGACTATTATTATTAACTATTATTATCTGCTGGGTTCATGAATATTAATGACGTTGTCAGCGTTCGCTCGAACTGATTTGCAGAAATCAAAACAAGGACGGTAATAGATGAGCGCCAGCCAACGAGAGCTGTTCGCGCATTAGCTCCGTCCACTGCCGAGAAACCGGCATATATTCTGCTTGTTTTTAAAAGCTGAATAATTCTAAATGAACTCTGTTATTTTGACAGTAAATTACTACAAAGAATATGGTTTACATGTAGCGCGTCGATTCAGCATGGTATGCAAGACTCTCGCTCTCTCTCTTTGCATGTGTGAGAAACACAGCGCTATCAGTAAAGCGACGGCGAGTCGTGCGCCTTCACACTAGTTTACGGTACGCCAAATACAGGTGCGCTGCGTGCTATATACTGCGCATCCATTGAGTACATGACAAGATCCAGTGAGCGCATCCAAATAGTACAGATCGCTTGACGGAGAGCGAAACTCTCAAGCGCTCAGTCAGCGTGTTTATCGAGTGAAAATCTGTGTTGAACGCCTTACACACATACTGGCGTGTAAAATCTAAGAATTTATTAGCCAATGGCTAATGTTAGACATTATTTAGTCGCCCAGAGTAAGATTTAGTCGCATATGCGAGTGATTTACTCGCAATGTAGAGGGTTGCATTTTAACACCGCCACTTCCTTTGATGGGGATAATTGGAGGATGTCAGCTCAGTTGTTGAACTTACTTTGTACAAACAAGTTGTTGCCTTGTACTAAGCTATTATAAATCTTGATTACAATACAAATTGATCACATGACTATATGAATAGAGTAATATTTTTAGTTTAAAAATGATTTCTAGTTTGCAGTAGCTAGATTCTAATAAGATGCTTAAATGGATGATTCTACACTATTTTTTCAGGCCCACTTTACTGAGGGAACAACACTATCATTATCTGAAGAAAGGTTTACGCCATCTCTCTGATGCATATGAGGTAAACAGTGTCTTTTGAAAAAACTCAAAAA